TCATGAGGGTGAATGTAGACACAGGAGGCATTGCAAACGCTTTTATGATCTGAATGCATCTGACTTTGGGCTTTTGTTTTCTTACATTCTTTGAGATCGAAGAAGGGTGAGGAAAGAGGGAACGGAAATGAAACCATTTAACTCTTCATCCGAAAACAGCGGTATTCTATTGAGTCAATGTCACGTAAATTTGACTTTTGTTGCTTTCATTTCTCTCCAGCCCAAGCTAGCCTGGGATTTGTCTCCGCTAGACTGCAGAGACCACCGAGTGTTCTCATCAACCAGAGACCTAATTGCAGCCATTTATTATAGTCACTTATCTGATAGTGGCTTCATTATCTGTGATAGTTTTACAGGGACAAAGTCCACCAGGCATTCGGTGGAACACATAAACATGTTATCCTCTGACAGGGTGTCTGTTACTTACTGTCAACACTAACTGGCCCTTGCCACATATCTACAGCTTATATGAAGTAACGATGAGTTTAATAAGCCCCAGTGAAAGCTACAGTGTAAACAGCATATCAGGAGTGTCACCCTCTTAAACAAACAGAGGTGATGGAGAAGTACAAACAGAACTGGATAGGAACCCAAGGAGATGAACATCAGGTGGGGAGAGAAATTCCACTGGTGATCCCCCGACTGGGTTAAGATCACAGAGGAGGCATTGTGTGTAAGGGTGACACCCACACAGTCCTTTCTATTGAAATTCCACAAATTCTGATTTGTTTTTTGTTAACCACCACTGAGGAGGAGAAATAGGTGAAAAGTAAGCACCAGTTTCTCATGATTATTATCTTTAGAAAATGTCTAGTAAATAAGTTTTGAGAGACGTATGCATTCTACAGCTAGTATCCCATGGATATATGTCTTGTGTGTGGTGTGTGGTGGTTGTTTTTTTTCTCAGTCTTATTGGAATAAAACCATAAACCAAGCTTTTAACACAGAGTAAAGTATGTGACCTACACAAGCCAGAGTACTGCAATCAATATGCAGGCAGTTTGTATTTGCATTAAATAGGCGTCTATTTGCGTATCCTGGAGGATGATGGGAGTTTCCTTTGCACAAACAGGAAGAACTCTTCTTGCACGCACAGGGAGTCCCAGCTGAGGTCCGGGATACAGAAAGGAAGAGTCATCTCCCTACACCCTCTCTCCCCTGGTTTCTTTCACATCCTCCATTATTCTTCCATTATTCTTGTTGGTCGTGATTCATCTCACTCTTCTGGATTAAGACTTTTTTTTGCCTCTTTTGACTTTGAAATTTAAACTGCTCTGGAACGGGAAACATATGAGACCTTTATTGACAGACTTGTTGGTATCAAGGATGTCGTAAAGACCTGGGCTCAAATCCCCTGTACAAATTGTTTCTCTGACTGTAAAATGAGGATGCCGCGGCCCCTCCTCAGTATTTTAGAGAGTGGAGACTAACAGGAAGCAGACTACCCAAAAATCATGGTAGCCATCGCCTCAGCATGTCGAGCATCCGCATAGCTCAGTTATGCCTGAGGCCTGCAGGAATGAGCCACGGGTGGGGAAGGCTGGAGCAGAAGGAACGAGAGAGAAGGTTTGCCGCAAAGGCTTCCAACATTAGAAATACCAATCCGGTCTGCCCTTGCCAGCTGTTGTTCCACAGGAAGGCTCTGGTCAAATGCACTCAAGAAAGTAAGGGTTGGCAAGTTTCTCTAGCACAGGGTTTCTCTAAAACCTTCCCCAACAAACGCGTGGTGTAAATACCTAAAGACAGCTGGGTGTGGTGGTGCACATTGGAGGCAGGAGGACCATGAGTTCCAATTCAGTCTGTCTACAAACAAGCTGAGAAACAAACCCTTCAGACTGGAACAAGCAATAAAACAAATTGGTAAACCTCGTGAGAAGGATCAAGTCTGGATTATGAAAAGCTACCCACCTCTGAGTGTTTTGGCTTACTTAGTTTGGGTCTCTCTTTGAGCTGTCTCTGTCTCTTTAACACAGTCAAGGATTTCTGAGAGTTCATGATATGAAACTCACACTTGGATGGGTTTGCTTTGTTTGGGAAACACAGGGCCTGGTGGTCTGCTGTGTGTTCACAGGTCGAGGAGAAGACCCCGGACTGAAGGGGGCAAAGGGTGGGTGAGGATCGAGTTGATGCACAGTGGATGTTAAAAGTGAGGAAAAGTATCTGGAAGGTTAGGTGAGAGAGCCCGAGAGCAAACACAGTCTTCCTTCGAGGTATGATGAGGGCACTCCCGTGATCTGGCTGAGTCTTTGTAAAAGTTCAGCTGCCCCTGGAGACCACCCACATTGCTATGGACCACTTCAGTTGAGAACAACATTTGGGACAAAATGGGGTTGGATGAGTTTCTTGTTTGCTGGGTTTCTTGCCACTTTGGACTGTGGCTCTCCAAGCCAGGTCTGTGAACCTGTAAGGTACAAGGAGGTGACAGACAACACAGGGAGGAAACAGGAGGAGAAAGAGGAGGGAACATGAAGAATGCGGCTTGGGAAAGATGATGGAGACCATGGAAGGCTTTAGAGGCACCATCCCCAACATGTCCCCTGATTGGACTCTGCTACCCACGTGCGAGCTTTGTTTTGCCATTCCAAGTAGCTGGCCTCAGTGGGGCTCTGCGGGTATATCATGTCCTCTGTTCATTGTGGAAAAGCCCTTGACAAAAGCCATGAAGCGCAGAAGGGCTGTTTTGGCTCAGAGTTTGCGGATCAGTATGACGGTCGGGTTGGTATGGTGGCAGACGCTTGAGGCCGCAACAGAGATGGATGCTGGTGCTGGCTTGCTTCCTTTTATGTGGCCTGGGACCCCAGCCCATGGGGAAGGGCTGCCCACATAAAGACCCGATCTGAAAACTCCCTTGTGAATGTGCCAAGAGGCGTGTCTCCTAGGTGATTCCAGACCTTGTCAAATTGACATTGTTAGACATACAGCAGCAACAGGACATGGGAATAAAAACAGATCTAAACAGCAGCAATAATAAAAGCAGAGGATGTCTGTGACCACAGGGAAGGGGAGAGAAGGAAAAAATTGAATGAAAAACTTTTATTGGCCTGGAGCCTGGGTCACTGTATCTTGGAGCACATAATTAATTGGTAGTAAGGATGGCTATAGTAGGTTTGTCCAACTCACTGCCTGCAGGCTGCGTGTGTCCAAGGCTAGCTCTGAATGCAGTCAAACAGAAAATTATAAACTTACTTAAAACATAACATCTATTTGCAAGTTTTTGGTAACTCTTTTTTTCTTAGATTTTTGTTTGTGAGCATAGCCTTTAATGGCTGAGCCATCTCTCTAACCAAGGACCTTTTTTCCTTAATATTTATTTATTTATTTATTTAGAGTGTGTGTATGCATGTGTGCACACTCCACATACACACATACACTTGAACATCTGCCATGTGTGTTTGAGTGTCCTTGGACCAGAAGAAAGCATTAGGTCCCCTAGAGCTGGAGTTAAAGGAAGTTATGAGCTGTCTGATGTGGGTACCAGTCACCCAGCTTGGGTCCTCCATGTGAGAAGCGAATGCTCTTAGCCACTGATGGTGTTTAGCCTCTGATGGTGAGGTTTTAGAGAATGGACTTGTGTGACAATGTCAATAGATTGGGCACACCAGGTAGGTATGGGAAGGGCTTTCAGAGATGAGCCAACTATGTCCCCTGCAAAGTCGTATGATGGCGTATTGATCCCTGTAATGAGGTCATTAGGGTTGAAGAAGGTTGAAAGGCTAGGGCCCCCATATGACAGGATGTGTGTCCATAGAAGAAGAGACACTGGAGAGGGAGCCGTGCAGTGTCCCTTTCGCTCACCGCAGGAAGACACTGAAAGGCAGAGGAAGGCGGAGAAAGGTGCTGAGTTAGCCACTGCTCCTGTCCTGGACACCCCTGTCTCCAGAAGTCTGCGACTCCTCACTGAGACTGCCTACACTGGGTGAGACAGTGCAAGCTGGCGCTGGATTCTGGAGTTTAGCACGAAACCACTGACCTTGGAGAAACTTCTGACCACCCACGCTGGTCCTGAGCGACAAGGGGCAGCGCCAGGTTACTCTCTGCTCAAATACTCTCTTGCCTTGTCCTTTCTTTCCCCACTCAAGAAGACGTCTCACTTTCTTGGGAGATGGCTCAGTCAGTAAAAAGTTTGCCCAGCAAGCGTGAGCAGAGACCCCAGAGCCCATGCGTAAAAGCTGGGTGAGGCAGCCCACATCTATAACCCCAGCATTGGATGGCAGAGACTGGAGGGGCTCTGGATCTTGCTGATCTATTTGAATCCCTGGGCCCCAGGTCTAGTGAGAACCGATGTCTCAAAGAAAGAGGTAGAATGTGAACAGGGAGGACACCTGACGTGTGAACCTCTGGCCGCCACAGCTATGCGTGCATGTGCACTCCCCCATGCCTGCAAGGTGTGTACACACAGACAGACAGACAGACACACACATGGATGCACACACGCAGGCAGGCAGGCACACACACACACACACGCACACACACACACGCATGCACGCACACCTCCATGGACAATGTCCTCCTTTTGGGCTGTGAAGAGAGTGTTTTTCTCTCCCTTTCTTTCCCTCCATTTTCGTCTGTTTCTTGTCCATGGCTCTAGTCCCCGTCTATTAGATGCACAGGTGAGTGTTTGCCCACAGACACACCAGTGTTTTGTTTGTTGTGTGGCTAACATGCCCTGGCTTTGGACTGGAAAATTTAAAAACAGGTGCTGTGGCTCTTCTGAGACAAGTGTCAAACTAGCCACATTTCCTAGCAGGAAGCCTAGGCCCAGGCTGTGGTTTAATTCAGGAAGGACATCTGTGAGGACAGACCTCGGGAAGGCAGATGGCTTTCATGAGTTTCTGTGAGATGTAGCTGCTTATTCAGAAAAAAAACCAAAGCATGTATTTATGTGTGAAGGAGAGCTCAGTTATTCAAAGTACTTATTTTAAAAATATTTATTTTATTTTAATTTACCTGTGGATATGTCTCTCTCTCTCTCTCTCTCTCTCTCGTGTGCTGGAGGACAGAAGAGGGCATCTGAGCCCCTGGAGCTGGAATCACAGGCAGTCACAAACCAGCTGATGTGGGTGCTGGGAGCAGAGCTCAGGTCCCCACAAGACCAGCAAGTGCTCTTCCCCACAAGACCAGCAAGTGCTCTTCCCCACAAGACCAGCAAGTGCTCTTCCCCACAAGACCAGCAAGTGCTCTTCCCCACAAGACCAGCAAGTGCTCTTCCCCACAAGACCAGCAAGTGCTCTTCCCCACAAGACCAGCAAGTGCTCTTCCCCACAAGACCAGCAAGTGCTCTTCCCCACAAGACCAGCAAGTGCTCTTCCCCACAAGACCAGCAAGTGCTCTTCCCCACTGACCAGCAAGTGCTCTTCCCCACTGACCAGCAAGTGCTCTTCCCCACAAGACCAGCAAGTGCTCTTCCCCACAAGACCAGCAAGTGCTCTTCCCCACTGACCAGCAAGTGCTCTTCCCCACAAGACCAGCAAGTGCTCTTCCCCACAAGACCAGCAAGTGCTCTTCCCACAAGACCAGCAAGTGCTCTTCCCACAAGACCAGCAAGTGCTCTTCCCCACAAGACCAGCAAGTGCTCTTCCCCACAAGACCAGCAAGTGCTCTTCCCACAAGACCAGCAAGTGCTCTTCCCACAAGACCAGCAAGTGCTCTTCCCCACAAGACCAGCAAGTGCTCTTCCCCACAAGACCAGCAAGTGCTCTTCCCCACAAGACCAGCAAGTGCTCTTCCCCACTGACCAGCAAGTGCTCTTCCCCACTGACCAGCAAGTGCTCTTCCCCACAAGACCAGCAAGTGCTCTTCCCCACAAGACCAGCAAGTGCTCTTCCCCACTGACCAGCAAGTGCTCTTCCCCACAAGACCAGCAAGTGCTCTTCCCCACAAGACCAGCAAGTGCTCTTTCCCACTGACCAGCAAGTGCTCTTCCCCACAAGACCAGCAAGTGCTCTTCCCCACAAGACCAGCAAGTGCTCTTCCCCACAAGACCAGCAAGTGCTCTTCCCCACAAGACCAGCAAGTGCTCTTCCCCACAAGACCAGCAAGTGCTCTTCCCCACAAGACCAGCAAGTGCTCTTCCCCACAAGACCAGCAAGTGCTCTTCCCCACAAGACCAGCAAGTGCTCTTCCCCACAAGACCAGCAAGTGCTCTTCCCCACAAGACCAGCAAGTGCTCTTCCCCACAAGACCAGCAAGTGCTCTTCCCCACAAGACCAGCAAGTGCTCTTCCCCACAAGACCAGCAAGTGCTCTTCCCCACAAGACCAGCAAGTGCTCTTCCCCACAAGACCAGCAAGTGCTCTTCCCCACAAGACCAGCAAGTGCTCTTCCCCACAAGACCAGCAAGTGCTCTTCCCCACAAGACCAGCAAGTGCTCTTCCCCACAAGACCAGCAAGTGCTCTTCCCCACAAGACCAGCAAGTGCTCTTCCCCACAAGACCAGCAAGTGCTCTTTCCCACATGACCAGCAAGTGCTCTTTCCCACTGACCAGCAAGTGCTCTTTCCCACAAGACCAGCAAGTGCTCTTCCCACAAGACCAGCAAGTGCTCTTCCCCACAAGACCAGCAAGTGCTCTTCCCCACAAGACCAGCAAGTGCTCTTCCCCACAAGACCAGCAAGTGCTCTTCCCCACAAGACCAGCAAGTGCTCTTCCCCACAAGACCAGCAAGTGCTCTTCCCCACAAGACCAGCAAGTGCTCTTCCCCACAAGACCAGCAAGTGCTCTTCCCCACAAGACCAGCAAGTGCTCTTCCCCACAAGACCAGCAAGTGCTCTTCCCCACAAGACCAGCAAGTGCTCTTCCCCACAAGACCAGCAAGTGCTCTTTCCCACAAGACCAGCAAGTGCTCTTCCCCACAAGACCAGCAAGTGCTCTTCCCCACAAGACCAGCAAGTGCTCTTCCCCACAAGACCAGCAAGTGCTCTTCCCCACAAGACCAGCAAGTGCTCTTCCCCACAAGACCAGCAAGTGCTCTTCCCCACAAGACCAGCAAGTGCTCTTTCCCACTGACCGCGTCTTCAGCCCCTAAAGCTGCCACTGATTTGTAGCAACATGTCTTTGCTTTCCTTTGTCATGAAGTAGGACCAAGCTTCCCATCTATGTAAGTAATTAGTCAGGACTCACCATATGTTAGGGGAGGAGCTTGGGCTCTTGATTCTCCTGCCTCCACCTCTCAAAAGCTGGGGTTTCAGGTGCACATCACCACACTTGGTTTTCGTGGTACTGGGGATCAAACCCAGGACTTCATATATGCTGGGCAGATACTCTAGAAACTGAGCTAGATCTCTAGTCCTTTGTTTGTAAGAAAACTTCCATTTTGAGATGGAGTCTTGCCATGTAGCCCAGACTGGTCTCAAACTTCCAATTTCCCCATCTCAGCTTCCTGACTAAGGGTACCCAGTGTAAACGTGACTTCTTAAAAAAATTGAGGTTCATTACATTTTCTTGGGCCCTCTGATCACCTCTGACTGATCAGGGAGTAGTCTGGGTAAAAATCAAATGCTAAAAAGATGGGAAAGCTGTCAAAATTGACATAGATTTTAAAAATTATTATTATTTTACTGTTTGGCTGGCATAAAGAAATCAAAGAGGACACTAGGAACTTTTTCCACACAGGTGTCGGATCAGGGTCCAGATGAATTATTGTATTTATTTATTTATTTATTTATTTATTTATTTATTGTTTTTTCGAGACAGGGTTTCTCTGTATTGTTTTGGAGGCTGTCCTGGAACTCGCTCTGTAGACCAGGCTGGCCTCGAACTCACAGAAATCCACCTGCCTTTGCCTCCCAAGTGCTGGGATTAAAGGCATGCGCCACCAATGCCCGGCTTCCAGATGAATTATTTTTAACAGTACAAACCACTGATCTGCATCCAGAGAAGCAGGGTTGTCCTTGGAAATTCTCAGGAGTGGGGTTTGATCAAGCAGAGTGGAAGGCAGCTGGCCTCCCACACCAACTTAGATTTGGAAGGCTCCAGCAATTAGCAGACCACATGGCATCTTCAGCATTCACTGGCCTTCCAGCTGCCTGCTGCGTAGGTCTTGCTTTATTTGGCAAATGGTTGATGAGAGGCAAAGGTTAAAGAGGAAGGGAGACTATGGGGAGTTTCTGTTTAGGGAGTCGACCCCGAGCCAGCGAGCCCTTGTCTGTCCTGTGCAAGCTTTTACCGTGTTACTGTAGTGTTGCAGAACAGTAGTGTTGCTGTCCTCATGCCCATTTCCAGATGCACACACTGAGGCCCAGAAGTGTCTGGCCCAAGGACTATGTGGCTAATTGGTAACAAAACCCAGGTGAGTTCATGATGCGAAGTTTCCTTTAACTTTTAAAAATTAAAATGAAAACTGTGTGTGTGTGTGTGTGCGTGTGTGTGTGTGTGTGTGTGCGTGTGTGTGTGTGTGCGTGTGTGTGTGTATGCGTGTGTGTGTGCGTGTGTGTGTATGCGTGTGTGTGTGCGTGTGTGTGCGTGTGTGTGTGTGTGCGTGTGTGTGTGTGTGCGTGTGTGTGTGTATGCGTGTGTGTGTGCGTGTGTGTGTATGCGTGTGTGTGTGCGTGTGTGTGTGCGTGTGTGTGTATGCGTGTGTGTGTGTATGCGTGTGTGTGTATGCGTGTGTGTGTGTGTGTGCGTGTGTGTATGTGTGTGTGTGTGTGCGTGTGTGTGTGTGTGTGTGTGTGTGTGTATGCAGGTGTGAACATCTTTGAGCGTACTTGTGAATCCAGAGGAGGGGTTAGGTATTTCCTGTATTGATCTCTGTTTCATTTGATTAAGAGAGGGTCGATTGGCTGGGCGGTGGTGGCGCACGCCTTTAATCCCAGCACTCGGGAGGCAGAGGCAGGCGGATCTCTGTGAGTTCGAGGCCAGGCTGGACTGACAGCCTCCAAAACAATACAGAGAAACCCTGTCTCAAAAAAAAAACCAAAAAAAAAAAAAAAAAAAAAAAAGAAAGGGTCGATTGACTGAAGGTGGAGCTCACTGTTTTAGTGAAGTCTGATTGGCTTCCCAGTGAAGTCCCAGGACCCACCTGTTTGTGCCAGCCAGTGCTAGGGTCACAGGCACATGCCACCCAGCTTGCTCTCATGTGGGTAGTGGGGATTCTGAGTGGGGTCTTTCTTCTTGCTCTAACCCATGCGACTCTCCCTACAGCCTCCCTCCTTTTAGTAGCAAATCTACTTTGTCCAAAACAGTGGGATCACTAGCACACTTCTGTACAAGTATACCATGTACATTAACTACACTCACCCCCCCCATTCCCTTCTCTTACCCTCCCCTGACATGTGGCATTCTCAACAGCAGAGTGACCTACACGTTGTTAGGTATTTGAAGAGAGGATAAAATACCAGGGAGTCCTGTCTTCTCCAAAAATTTCAGACATGATGGAAACAACACACAAAAAGAGTCGGTTTTCTTATGATAATAAACACAATCTTCCACAGTAGAAAGTATTTAAATAGTTACGAGGGTCTGAGAAGACAGTTCAGCCGGGAAAGTGCAGTCAGAGAGGAAACCCGAGTTTCGCCCCCCAGAACCCATGTGAAAATTTAGGTGCAGCATGTGTGCTTTAATGCCAGCCCTGGGGAGGCAGAGGGAGGAGGATCCCTGGGGCTTCTGGCCAGCTTGCCTAGCCTACTTGGTGAGCTCTAGGCCAGTGAGGGACTTTGTCTCAAAGGAAGGGTGGTCAGTACCTTAGGAGAAATGACACTCAGGATTGTCCGCTGGCCTTTACACACACATGCCCTGTGTGCACACACCTGCCCACACATGTACACCTGCACATACATGCACACCACACACAAATAACTAAGTAAGAAAAAATACAAGCTATAGGTTTGGTTTCTGAGCGGAAAACAGCAGAGTCTAGCAGGATTATCCGGTGTTGGGAATTAAAGATGTGTGTGGTGTATGTGCATGTGCGCACGCTCGCACGCACACACGTACACACCCCCCACACAATTTAAGCTGTATGTGGCCAGGGTCTTGAATTGGTCATGACGTAAACGTTGTGGGTAGTGACTGCATGGATGAATGCACCTGCTCGCTGATTCTCCCCTTCACAGCATCTCTTTCGCATTGTTAGCAGTTATTACAGTGTAGTGCACTCAGGTGCAGTCAATATTTCTATGTTTGTGATCCATTTTGAAACATCACCCTGTTTTTTTGTTTGTTTGTTTTTTTATGAGACAGGGTTTCTCTGTATTGTTTTGGAGGCTGTCAGTCCAGCCTGGCCTCGAACTCACAGAGATCCGCCTGCCTCTGCCTCCCCAGTGCTGGGATTAAAGGCGTGCGCCACCACTACCCGGCAAAACATCACCCTGTTTGTCTAGAGTCAAACACCTTTAAAACACATTTGATGAGTTAACAATGATCGGTACACATTTACTGCTGCAATACAACAAAACTTACAGTTTAACTTAACATCAAATCTCTAGGTACTTCATTTATTCACGCTACAGACCATGGTCACACAGTCCTCTTGTGCAGCTTCTCTCTCATTGCAGAGTATAAAGCACCACATACTTGCTTTTCCCAGAGCCATTTGCAGCCAGGGCACGACCATGTGGTTCAATGTTGGCAATCAGTCCTTGTGGGGAATTGTCTGTAAAGAGAGATGCATGGACAATTCTTTGCTGAGTAGCATCATGTTTACCTGGGAAGACTGCAGTGATAACAGCCATTCTGCATCTGCTTGTATCTACACAGATGCTTCAAAACGACAAGCTTAGATTTGAAGACTGGAAAGATGGGGGGAACCTGGGATTTAACAACATGCTTGGCCTCCCCATGGACCTGCCTTCTTCCAGACTTTGTTATGCAAGATAATATTTCTCCTATTTTATTCATTTCAGGCGGTCTTTGTGTTAACAACAGACAAAAGATACCTCCAGTCCCTCTTCCTCTTTGCAAAGAACTGCCTGTGGTCCATGAACACCTTCTGATGCACTCACAAAAGCACTCCTTGCATTTTCTATTAGGGTGTGATTTTCCTTTTGGTGAGCTTCATACTGTCCTCCTTACTCAATATTGTCACCCAGCTCAGCACAATGAGACAGCATTCATTCTTTCCATCTGCAATGAAACAAGGTATCTAGGAAGTGTTGTGACTGTGTCCTCTCTCTCTCTTTAATATATTAGCATAGATTAACTATACACCACAATGGGTTTCATTGTGACATTTTCATTCTTTTGATCATATTCACCCTTGTTATTCTCTCTTATCTTCTATACCCATTCATCACCCTACTTTTCTGGTTTTTTTTTGTTTTGTACTGTGTGACCCATTGAGTTTCTTTAGGGTTGTAAACAGGTACACAGATAAAGAGATGTTTACAGGAACATAGACAACTTACTAGTGGCTGCACCATTGAAAAATCATTTCCCCTTCCCCCATCTATGATTAACTGCCTACAAATGCCATGTCTCCTCTTTCCTAGAGGGTGGAAATAACTTACTGATCATTGGGTCTAGCTATGATCGCAAAAATGGCTGATGTCTGTTAAGTGATTCACTGTGTCTGACATAGTTTTGAATTATATTGGGTATGTTAGCCTATTAACTCAGTTGACGGCGACTCAGGCTGTGGGCCATGCAGTAGCTCAGGCCTCATCCTGAACCCATGCACCCCATCTATCACAAATTAAAGCTCCCCAAGAAGCCTGTGGTGAGTTGGACAGAACTGAAATGGATCCGTGACATCATGCTCTCCGTGTAATAGGCACTTGGTAAATATTTGTTGAGTTGAGTCCAGTGCCTGCTCAGTTACGCAAGATAAGCAGGCACAGCGTCTCTGGAGAGCCTCTGGGCTGGGCTCGAAGGAGACAGCTGCTTCTGGGACACTGCAGCTAGGATCCTCCAGGGTCACCAGCTCAGGTTCAGCCCAGGTCCTGACTCAGCACACAAGGATATTTGTGGCAGGCCAAGGGAATGAGTGGTGACCTTAGCCTAGAGCCTAGTAGAAAAAGGCTTTGGCAAGTCTAATGTCTTTGCTGTTCTCCTAAAGTCACTTCTCTTGGTTGTGTCAAGAGACTGCGAGGCAGGTGGCAGAGTATCTGATGGGCTGAGTTAGGGATAGGGGAGTGCAGGTTTCACCCATTTAGTAGAAAGTGATATGTATAATTTATAATATAATATATTAATATAATATAACCCATATTTTATTATATAATGTTTTATTTATATAGTATATATATTCATTGACAATTTTATTTGTACATACAATGTGACATAGTTTCTACTCTCTCTGGGCCTCCTTGACAAATTCCCCCTTCATGTATCTTTATTTGTTTATTTATTCGCTTACCTTTTGAGACTAGATGGCTTGGAACTCACTGTGTAGACAGACACAGCTGGCTGCAAATTCACAGAGGTTCATCTGTGTCTGCCTCCCGAGTCCCGAGATTATAGTCGTGTGCCACCACAGATAGCTTTATTTCTTTTTGTATAACTCAGTGAGTCTAGGTAGTGCTGCCCACATTCACATGGGTGTGGGGACATCCATTAGAGTGTGTCACCCTGCCAGTGGCCATATCTCTGAAGGAGGTTGACTCTTCCTTCCCCTGTAGTTGTCCACTGCCAATAGCCCGTCAGCTACTGGCTGAGCCTCCTGAGCTCCTCCAGGGGTAATACGTATTTTATATAATATTCACTAATGCCCTGTGTAGGTGCTGACTTTTATGATTTCACAACTCTGCATACACAGTAATCTAAGGGGATATATAGTGTTTGTTTATAGGAAAGAATACTATCTATTTAGCTGGAGAGCACTATGAATCGAACATGTCCCTGAAAATAATTTTACTGGACATTTAATTCCCAATACAACAGTGTTGAGAGGCTAGACATATAAGAGATGATTGCCTGCAGGGACTCTCTCTTCAGAAATGGATGCCATTCTACTGGGAGCAGAGTTATCAAGAGAGTGGAGTCTTTATAAAGCAAAGCAAGAGCCTCTCACGTCTGCTGCCAGTGCTGTGTCTCCTGCGGTGTCATGCCACAGAAAGAAGACCTCCACAGAGTGGCCAGATGTGGCCCTTTATGGACTTAAACGGGAACTGTGAGTCAATAACGTTTTTTTTTTCTTTTTTGTTTTCTCGAGCCAAGGACTCATTAGTTCAGCCTGGCCTCAAACCAGCCTTGTAACTGAGCATAATTTTGACTTTATGATCCATTTGCCTCCCCACCTCCTGAGTGCTAAGATTATAGGTCCTGAAGAAAGGTGAGCTGTGATTGGCTACAATTACCCAGAAGACAGAAGACAGATGACATAAAGCAAATGTCTTGACCAGCAAATTTTTATTA